ATATATTTTTAAAATGTCCACATCAGTGCCACGTGGCTGGTCAGCGTGCACATGGGCGATTTCTGGCCAAAATTGGCCGAATGGGCTCAATTGGCAAGAAGTAAAAAGAGTTAGAACTCAATTAGTAAAGTTGAAAAGTTCAAAACTGAATTGGCAAAAGTGTAATAGGTTTATGACATTTTAGACAATTTTCCCTAAGATGAATAGGTATACATTGAGCATATTTCTTTAATGTTTTTGAACAAAAATTTTCTAATACATGAAACATTAAAAAAGAAGTTCAAGCACGAATCGAAAGTAGCTTTCTGATAACCTAATTTTCTTTAAAAATGCAATTCTTTCTACGGGAAAAGTTTAGAAGCACATAGATGACTTGAAAGGCAAATATAAGATCAGCCGATACGATTTTCATACCAATACAATTATTATGGAACACGCTTTGTCATTACCAGTCAAGAAATCAACAACACGTGCACTTCCGATGAATTTCCATATTCATTAATTTTGTGTTGTAATCGAGTTGTATTACTATGGTGCACCGCAATGTACCGTGGTTGTACCGTATTTTTTCGGGTCAATTATTGCTAAGTACATAAGAGGATAAATTCTTTTAGACAATTACATAAAAAATAAAGGAAAATACAAAAAAAAAAATCGAAAAAAAGAAACCTTGAAAGTGGGAGTAGGTTGAGGTGAGAGTAGTATTGAAATACTAATTTCTCATGTTTGGTCAAGAAAAAGCCAACTTACCGATTATAGTGTAATTCGACATAGAAAAAACAAAAAGAGCGGCATGAGAGAAGCATTGGATTAATGTATGGTTTAGCCGCTGATGGCGAATTTGGGTAAAAATATCCAAAAAGTCCTAAACTTATTATACGATAGCCAATTCAGTTATAAACCTTTCAATTATGCCAATTAGTTTTAAACATATTGATGATTTGCCGATTTAGTCATAAATTTTTTCAACGATTTGCCAATTTAGTCATTCTGTGATTTCCAACCAAAATCATCCAAAATGATTTTATTGGCAAATCGTTAAAAGGTTTATAACTAAGTTGGTTGCTGTACAAAAAGTTTAAGATTAAATTGTCATTAAAACTAAATTGGCCGCTGTACAATAGGGCGATGAATTTGTGTGCATGAATTATTTATATGGGATAACCTTTTGGTTTCCACATTATTAAATTGCAAAGAATCCCTTATTTGGCTCATCAATCAAAGTTTGGCTTACGCCGTACATATCCTTGATGAGGTTCGTAACGTATTTCGTGGTACGTCGTAACAAAAGAGAGAGAAAGAAGTATGGGAATGGCATGTTATATAGTCTTGTATATTATGGTATCGACAAGAAAATCGATATGGCCACGTACGCAATCTCGACAACTTTGTCCAAAGAAAGCATTGGCTGTCTCTGCCATGCCAAGTGCCAACGAAAAGTGGACAAAAATAATTGTTTCGGCGACCAAATACAGTCTGCCATACCATAAATGCAAATAATGAAGCGTGCACGTAATACCTATGTATAGAATAGGATGTGGGATTGATTTCTCTATTTGAACGTTTGTGTGTCATGTGGGCATGAAGTCTTGGTCTTTCCATTGAAGTTTACAAGCCTTCCCACTTGAATTTAGGGCGTTATGTTCTATTTATTTCGCAGAAAATGAATTATTTAAAAAATACTGTCCTAAAAATAATTGATTATGTCGCTTGAAATAATTAGTCTTTGAAAAGTGTTTTCATTATCAATAACAATTTATATCTAAACATTTTCATGGATGATGAAAATATTTTTCATTCATTTATTTTTATAAACAATACCAACGATTATTTTTAGAAAGATATTTTTTTAAATCATTTATTTTCTATGAAATAAACTTCTCCTTAATATCAGTCACACTTAAAAGGGAGAATTACATACATGAGCCTTTTTTTGGTGATAAGAATGCACACGAATGTCCTAACTCGATTTAAAGCAATTTGCCTGGCTACAGTCCATTGACCTTGAGGAAGAAATACTTTTCTTGCCCTTGTACGTCCGTTCAATAAGAACACAATTGAACTTCTTTCGTCGATGGGCCAATTATCTCGAAAGATAAGTATATCATAAATTCTAAGACCTATGAGAAAAATGTAGTTAAATTCTAAAATTATCAAATAATGCAATTAAGTCTTAAAATTTATCTAAGAAAATTGCAAGGAAGAAATTCGGTTTACTCCCATCTACTTTGAGCGACATGAAAGAATTTGCATGTCTTTTTTTCTAAAAATCTCGAGGCATAATGAGCACTGAAGTGGTTTCAAGTGGATGCCACGTTAGAAAAACACTAAAAAAGTACTTAAAAAGAGCTATAGAGAGAGCAAGAGACCATAGAGCAAGGGGCGGTGGAGGACCATTGGCGATCCTTGTAGGGGTCATGGTGGGCAAGGGCCGGCAACCCTCGCCTAGCCCTAGACGAGAGCGATTGGCCCTCAGTGTGAACAAGCCCTTGCGCAACGGTGGCATCACCTCTTGGCACCTTCACATGAGGTCGATCAACCATTTCTACCTACATAGAGGGTCGACTGACCCTCATGAGGCCAGTGTTCCATCACCTCGCCACCACCGGGAGTGGGCAAAAGGTAAGAGTGAGCGCAAGTACGTCTTCACTTAATCACAATGATGGATATTGTCCTCATGTGGATTTAGCAAGGTGGGTCGACCATCCGAACTCCCATTGCTCTCTCTCTCGCTCGGCTATTTTGAACCTGCAGCACCATTGCACGTCCTCGAAAAATTTAAAATTTCATTCAAATTTTTCTGTTAGTTAAAATTGACAAAACTAACGGAAATATTTGATTGTGTTTCTATGGTAAGTTTTAATAATTTTTTTGCCAATAATAAATTTTAGGATTTAGTTGCACTCTTTTATAGTTTTAAGAGTTGATGATATTTCGCTACTAATTTTAAGATTTTTAGTGCACTTATCATTTATTTTAATGTTTTCATCTGGTGGTACTTTTGACAAGTTTACCTCGCTCAAGGGCGGGCGATCCATGTCGTGATTAGAAGACTCGTGCATTAGCTTCTTTGTGACTTACACCTAAAAGATTGGCCCCTCCAAAATGAAATTGCAAGCCATCTAGTCATTTTGTCACTTCTGCATACTAACAATTTGAACCGTTCCACACAGGTGAAGTCCTTAAAAAAGAATACTCTGATTGATGATCATTTGAGTCGGGTTTTACTTGCAAATCATTTCACAGGTCTCTTCTATCTACGTGAGACTTGGAATTGTATAAACTACTCCAAACATGTTGATCCATATTGTTGTACAAAACTCAACCTTTTTTTACTTGTGATTCACGTAATTCCTCCTCTTTTGTCGTCTTAAAAGTCAGTTAGGAGTTACATCTTATCTAAACTTTTTTTACGATTTCCCAACTCTTGTTGATTGGCTAGGAGTCTATTCCGTTCCGGGAAAATTGTCAAATCAGTCCTAAACATATTGTACGGCGGCCAATTCAGTCCTAAACCTTTTAATTTTGCCAATTCAGTCCTAAACCTTTCTAATTCTTGCCAATTCAGTCCTTCCGGCCAATTTTGGCCGGCCGGCGCTGACGTGGCCGCCGGCCGGCGCCGGCCGTCCAGCTAACGCTGACGTGGCAATTTTTTATTATTTTTTTAAAAATTTTTAATCTTTTTTTTCTTTTTTTCTGTTTTTTTTTTCTTTTTTCTTCCTCTGGCCGGTCCGGCGACCGGCGGCCGGCCAGAGGGGAGGGCCGGCGAGGTCGCCGTCGCGACCCAGGAGACGGCGAGGTCGGCCTCGTCGCCGCTTGGCGAGGCGAGGCCCAAGCAGCGGTGAGGCCGAACTCGCCGTCGCCGGGTCGCGACGGCGAGGTCGGCCTCGCCACGGCCGGGCCTCGCCTCGCCCAGCCGCGGCGAGGCCGACCTCGCCGTCGCCTAGGTCGCGACAGCGAGGTCGGCCTCGCCGCGGCTAGGCGAGGCGAGGCCCAGCCGTGGCGAGGCCGACCTCGCCGTCGCCGAGTCGCGACGGCGAGGTCGAACCTCGCCCCGCATCCGGGCGAGGCTCGACCTCGTCGTCGCGACCCGGGTGACGGCGAGGTCGAGCCTCGCACAGATCTGGTGAGGCTCGACCTCGCCGTCGCTACCCAGGCAGCGGCGAGGCCGGCGAGGTCGACCTCGCCGGCCCTCCCCTCTGGCCGGCCGCCGGTCGCCGGACCGGCCAGAGGAAGAAAAAAGAAAAAAAAAAAACAAAAAAAAAAAAAAAAAAGATTAAAAATTTTTAAAAAAATAATAAAAAATTGCCACGTCAGCGTTGGCCGGACGGCCGGCCACGTCAGCGCCGGCCGGCCAAAATTGGCCGGAAGGACTGAATTGGCAAGAATTAGAAAGGTTTAGGACTGAATTGGCAAAATTAAAAGGTTTAGGACTGAATTGGCTGTCGTACAATAGGTTTAGGACTGATTTGACAATTTTCCCTTCCGTTCCTAAGTACCTACTAGAGACTTCATATTGTATACCATGTGTGATGATCGAATTCGTCCATGTAGGCCCGACCTCCTAGAGTACTCAAATGGTGATTATTGCATTGTCTATGGATCCTTTCATAGAGCCCCACGAATTGGGTATGAAACACTTAGGCATGGCACCGACCCAAACCCATTTGGGTTTCTCTCAATGCTTTCACGTGCTGGAACTACAGTGATCCCAGTATTGAAGATTGAAAAATTCATCAACACTAAAGTGATGGAACTCTAACCTTTCTCTCACCAACATTCTTAGTAGTTGACTAATTTAGGTTGGTGGATATATATGATTATTGCAAACAGAAAAGGGGCCTCTCCATTTTCATCCCATGGACGAGGCAGCTAAAGATGGACCCCCACCCTCTCCCCCATTCTACCAAATATTTTTGTTCTCTTTCCTTCACCCTTCTATTTCAACAACCAGGGATGCAATTATGTTTCTGAATATGCTAAATAATGAAGCATAAACATGGAAAAAATGATTAAATTAGAGTTAGTGGTTCCACCAAATGATGTTGTGGCACCACCAACCCATAAATTAAATCCAGCTAGCCTTTCACATTTTGAATCCCAGTAAATAATTCTAATGAAGTCCTATACTTTTTGGTACATGTGAACAAAAGAAAAACAAAAGAACTTATGAGCAAATAACCTGAAATTTCTAAAGAAAACAAATTTGACAAAAAGGGGGAAGAAGTTTGTTTCCCTCTTTCCTAAGGTTCCAAGCAAACTGGCTGAACTGCACTTCTTGAGACCCTACCATGCCCAAAAGAAAAGAATGTCCTCCTCACTCTGTTGCTGTTGCTGCTGCTGCTGCTGCAACCTTCTTGATTTTGAGGACTAATGACATTAACTTCACTGAACCTGAACGCCTCCTCTCTCTTCTGCTTCAAAATCTCTTGGACTGCCAAGAATAACTGTCTATCAGCAGATGAGTCCATTGAGATTGACCTCCTAATTGGCTGAACCAAGAACTCATCATCTCTCTCCCTAATGTCAATGAACTCATCACCCATGCTCGTCATCTTGTGAAGCTTCCTTGCCCTGCCTTTCTTGGCCAATCCGCTCTTTTCCAACTTCCCAAGTGAAGGGCTTATGGCCTGAGTTGGTGATGATGATGAGCAGCCAGATTGCACTCTCTCATGCCCTATCCACAGCCTCTGGCTCTGGCTCTGCCCCTCAGGACCAGCATCCTCTGGCCTTCCCAATTCAATCACAACAAAGTCCTCGTCCCCGCCGACGACAGTTGCCCTGCCGTCATAGGGGCTCGTGTCCTCCGGGGTTGAGCTCGGCGCGATGATACGGTCCCGCGGGAACAGTGGCGGCAGCAGACCCGCCGCTGCTGCGCTAGAGACGCTTGTCCGGCAGAGCGGGCAATTGGCATTGTTCTGAAGCCAAATGTCAATGCAATCGATGTGGAACACATGGCTGCAATTTGGGATGATCTTGAGCTTCTCATCCTCTTGGAACTCATTCAAGCAGACCGCGCACTCACAAAAGCTCCTCTCCCCAAAATCTCTGCTCTTGCCTCCCCTGCTCCTGAATTGGAGTATCGGGATCGATCGGATAGCCGCGTCGTCGAGGCCTCGGGGCTCCATCATCGCCGGAGAGTGCATCAATAAGGAGTCTTCAGGGCGGTGGCGGCCTCTCCGCGAGAGGGAGAACCGGCTGAGGAGATCAACCCGGTGCCAGTTCAGGCAACACTTGATCACGAATATGTAGTAGCTGACCAGCAAGAAGGCTGTGGCCACGATGCCTATGATGGCAATGGCCATGATCGGGAAGCCCGGGCCCGAGTTGTGCAGAGGAGCGTGAGCAAGCGAGGTGGTCGCCTCACTTGTGGAAGGAGGGATGGTCTCAGAGACATGGATCAGTGAGGCCTTGGTCACAAGATCCATGTCCCCACCAAAAGAAAGAAACCAAGAAAAGTTTCTTTTGCTCGTGTGCGTGACAAGAACAACAACATCCACTCAATGACGACTCGAAAACGGCAAAGAAATCGAGGGTACTGGTTGGTTGAAGATGATATCAAGAGGGCTGAAGCAAATTCTTGATTTGGCCAAGATCTGCAGAGAGATTTGAGAACTCAAAACGTTCAGAGAGAGAGAGTGAGAGAGAGAGGCAAGAACGTGGAGAAGAGGGAAGAAGGGAGTAAACCCAGGAGGGAATATAAATGAGGGAGAGAGAGAGACTGTTGAAGGGGACACCAAGAGAGAGTTGAAAAATCTGTCAAAAAAGTGATGACCTGCTCTATTTATTTGTTTAATCATTTTCAGTCTTTAATATGAGAGAGAGAGAGGGAGAGAGAGAGAGCGTGGAGCAGTTGGTCGATTCAGGTTTTTTTTCTTACCACGAAATTATTTTTGCGGGAGAGTATCTCGATGATTGTAATCTTAAATGATGTAATCAGGTAATTAAATGGCCTGGACTTTATTATATGATTAATTAATTAAAGAACATAAATGTGCACACCCATTATTTATTGGAGAAGTTGTGGTATGTCCAAGCGTTGTGCAGATGGATGATGTCGAGATTTACATCGTTGTCGATCGAACTTAGTGGAGGCCAAGTACTTAGTCACTAATATGTTTAATAACCCGACATCATTGTCAGATTGCACCAGTTTGGCCTAATTGTTTACCACTGCTAATGCGGGGCAATATGAACTTAGTTGTACCCGGAGATTATTTCTAATCGAGTACTTCTATTACTACTTATTCTAGAAATGGTTTATCAAACTCATATGCCATATAATTCGATAGATCATAGTTAAATAATCTGTTTTTGCGAACGCATGAATTATCTTGCTAATCACCATATGAAAGGTAGAGAATGTATGCAAGTGAAATTATAAAAAATTTCATATGAATAATTACCCACGAAATAAGCAGGAAAGAGCGATGGATTACACAAATAACTTTTCTAGCTGAAAATCTGTCTGAAGAGCTGCTCTATGTTTCATTTTGAGCTTCTGTATAGTAGATGGTATTTGAAGAACACGAGTGTATATGAATAGTATAGGAGGATTTTTAACAAGTCAACATGAAATTATTTGCAAATTGGGGATACGGGCATTTATCAAAAGATTTCTCAAGCTCGTGTAATTATTATTTTTTGTTACTAGCTGTGAATATAAATGTAATTTCTTTTGTTTTTGAAGTACCTTCACCTGAATTAATATGTTAGCAATGATTTCAAATTTCAAGCATTCACCGTCTTACACTATTCATAGTACTACCCACGAGGCGACAATACATTGATAGTAATTAATTCACCAAAAAGTCAAGATGCAAATGCGTAGGAGCTAAAATAAATTTAAAAATAATTGGTCAAAGCCTACACAACATCAGGGCATGGGTCAAAAACCTTGACTTTTCTGATGCAATGTAAATGAAAAATAAAATATAAAAAAAGCCACTTTTCTTAGACTCATCCAATCTCAATAATTATCGGTTGCTAAAGCTAAAAAGCCTTAAATGCACATGACATCAACCGTGAGATTGATTGCTTTGGTTATGAACTAAATGATTAAAGTTCAAACTATGCACGACTGAGTTAGCACTCCCATTGACATCCATCTCTTCTCTCTTGTGCAATTCGAAAAATTTCTTTTGGCCAATGCAATACGAATGCATTTTTTCTTAAAAAAAGAAGAAGGGAAAAGTCATTGCAGCATGTTATCTAATATAAACAAAAAGTTGCATGGCTGTATGTATCATCTTATAATTACCCTATAATGGTCCAGAAATTGTGTAACATGAACATCACTACTTGTGATAGAATCCAAGTTGCAATAGAAAACAAAAGTGCTTTAAATGGTTATAATTAGACTAAGACAGCCATTAAGAAAATCATTAGGAATCTTCACACTTTTAATCAAAATTACTAAAAAGTGCATTACTAGAAAGGAAAATATCAAATTGACTCATCAAATGACCTGTGGTATCAGTGACTTCATATAACTCACTACTTCCTAAATCGGGGAAAATTATCCAATTAGCTCTAAACCTATTGTAGGGATGTCAATTCAGTCATAAACTTCCCGGTTTCGCTAATTTAGTCCTAAACCTTTGCATGAGTTTCTAATGTAGTCATTCCGATCAATTTTCACATAAAACCGCTGAAGTGGTAGTGCAATGGCTGGACTGCCATGTTGGTAATTTTTCCGGCAAAAATTGATCGGAAGAACTACATTAGAAATTTGTGCAAAGGTTGATGATTAAATTAGTAAAATTGAAAAGTTTAGAATTAAATTAATGTCTGTACAATAAATTAAGAGCTGATTGGGTAATCTTTCTTCCTAAGCCGTGATTATCGTTGATAACTTACTATATTAAAAAACCCTTTCCCAATCACTTACGATGCCGTCAAAAGAGCAAGATAGATTCATCCACTTGCGACATGATCTTTAGTGGGACCGACCCACGAAGGAAAGGGCGTGAGGAATTGTCAATTAAGGGCAGCTATTGCACCAATGGTCAAATTCGCCATTGTTGGCTCCTACCCTAAGATTAGAAAAACACCAGAAAAGAGAACCGACACTATGCATCCCCATTCCTTTCGCGTTGACAGAACTGAGGAGAGAGAGAGAGAGACAAAACAGATTAGGCCAATGCTCGAGTTGGGCGAGAAAAAAATGGAGCCAGCCCTACCTTTTTTTGGAAAGTGTTCACTGCTCTAGTCAAAGGTAGAAGGGGGCCCTCCGAGAAGGGAACTTTTCTCTACCTCTCTCTCTTCTCATTCATTTTACTTCTTGCCAAAGATTTTTTCTCACTTCACATCACACGCATTGCGGTAAAGGAATCTCCATAGCCATAGTAGCACCCATTTATTGTTGGGTGCTAAAGCAGCTTAGCTTTGGGAGGGGGGGTGTACAGCTATGTATAACATGTGTGGGCTTGGTGTAACAGGACATTGCTGCATAATTGACGTTGCGTACCATGTTCCTACGGCTATGGCGTAGCCATTGAATTCGTGTGCAAATGAGTGACTTTTATGGCTGGCATTCATCAAAGAGGAAGCAAGATATGTGCAATGATGGTTTGGTGATAAGAGAGGCTTTTATGGTACATGGTTTCATTTTATTTTTTTTCTGATTATGGTCGGTACAAGAGCTCTGTATTTGGAGGAAACGAGAAACCCTAATCCACGAAAAGCTAAGTAACTAGAGTTTTCGGCAAATGCCGTAAAAAATCATAAATTATGAACTTGCCCCGTATGACACAAATACCTTAGTTGTTTTTTGTGCCACCAAAATACCTAAACTTATACATATGTCACATATATACCATCTATTATAGTTTCATTCCAGATTTATTTGTCACAATGATATAAGTTAGAGTTTTTTTATGACCCAAAATTTGGGGTATTTGTGTCACAATGTGCAAATTTAGGATTTTTAGTAACACAAAAAAAATTTAGATATTTGTGTCACAGTCGGCATAATTTGAGATAATTTATGGTATTAACTCTAGGGTTTTTGATTGTAAGATATACTAAAATATAAAGCTACTAGCTCTTAATAGTTGGATATCTCTAATTAGGGATAATGACACAAACAGTCTCTGAACTTTGGCCTAATATACAATATAGTCCTTGAACTTTAATTTGTTCGATGTAGTCCTTGTACTTGAATTAATGGAAAGACTTCATTGAACATTTTCATATAGTTCAGCGACTAAATTGAATATGTACCAAAAGTTCAAGGATGACATTGAACAAATTAAAAGTTTCGAGACCACATTACATATTGAGTTAAAGTTAGGAACCATATTGAACAAATTAAAAGTTCAGGGATCATATTGTACATTGGTCCAAATTTTATGGACTATTTATGTCATTTTTCCATCTAATTATGAGTACTACGTCTGTAAATCTCCATCATTGACGGCTATAGGTCATCAAGATCTTTTAAGAAAAAGTGCAGCCTATTTAAATAATTGAGAACTCCTGCATGAGGACGCAGATTTCAATCTTTATGTCTACACAAGTATTCAAACGAAAGCAGCTTTTGCACCTACATGGAGAAAGTTTTTGTTTTTTTAAATTTCGAAACTGGAATATTCCCTCATGAACTTTCGGTTGTTTTTTTAAATTTCTGAATGGATGGCGTTGATTTAATCTTTTCTTTGGAGCCTTTTCACAACCTTTTCTAATCTAACTGAAACCGCCACATCTTGGTCTTCAAGTTTGCTCGACTTTAAAACCTCAGATAAACAACTGTTTTAGGATTAGAAAAAAAAGGATAGAGCGCCATTCACATCATGGGAAGAAGTGCACAAATCCCAGTAAGGTTCTGAGCTCATTGCTAGCTCATTTCTACCGACTTAAGGATCGCTCCTTTCAAATCGAGGACTGTATAATAGAAATCAGGACTGTGGATCAAGAAAGGGACAAGAACTTGACAATCGAATTCGAAAAAACCGATGAAATGACCTTACTGACAACAACATAGATCGTTCCAAAGAAATAAGGGCAAGTGTTTGACTGATTAAAGTAAACAAACAAGAAGATTTTGTGCATCCTCTTCATGGAAGTAAATTGCATTGACAGAATAAAAATCTGGTTCTTCAGGATCTTATGCATCCTCTTCATTCTCAAGTGAGTCTAGGTATAAATTGTTATTGATAATGAGAACATTTTGTTGGAAATATGGGATAAATTGATGGGTGGATGAATGAGAAATTGATGCTCAAAGAACACCCTTGAGTTGGAAGTGGGATGTGGAAAAATACTAGTCCCACATCGGAAAAGAAAGAAGGCTATGGAGTGCTTTATATACAGTTACACTTATTTGAAGTGGTAACTATCATAGCACAAACTCTCTGCCTCGCGCACAGGCACAGGAGGGGTGCAAATTCGACGCCCGACAAGCTGAAACTTGGGTGCGTACACGATTGCAGGACCGAAAAGTGGGCCTCGCGACAAGCCCAATTTTGCCTTCTGATTTATTTATTTTTTCAACTCAAACAGTTACAAATTTCATAACGTGCGACAGATTTAATCAGCCGTTATTCCTATTCGTATTGATCTTATAACGGCAGAATTAATCGTTCGTTATTCGTATTGATCTTATAACGGCAGATTTAATCGTCCGTTATTCGTATTGATTTTATAACGGCAGATTTAATCGTCCGTTATTCGTATTGATTTTGTTGATTTATTTTTTTTTTCAACTCAAACAGTTACAAATTTCATAACGTGCGACAGATTTAATCAGCCGTTATTCCTATTC